TCCATTTGCACAACAGCATGTGACATTTATTGTCAATCAGTGTTGCTTCCTAAGTGGACAGTTTGATTTCACAGAAGTGTGATTGACTTGGAGTTACATTGTGTTGTGTAAGTGTTCCCTTTATTTTTTTGAGCAGTGTATATTTTCTATTTGATATTCTTCAAATAGCCACCCTTTGCCTTGACAGCTTTGCACACTTGGCATTCTCTCAACCAGCTTCATGAGGTAGTCACCTGGAATGCATTTCAATTAACAGGTGTGCCTTGTTAAAAGTTCATTTGTGGAATTTCTTTCCTTCTTAATGCGTTTGAGCCAATCACTTGTCACAACACAAGGTAGGGGGGGTATACAGAAGATAGCCCTATTTGGTAAAAGACCAAGTCCATATTATGGCAAGAACAGCTCAAATAAGCAAAGAGAAACTACAGTCCATCATTACTTTAAGACATGAAGGACAGTCAATACGGAACATTAAGAACTTTGAAAGTTTCTTCAAGTGCAGTCGCAAAAACCATCAAGCGCTATGATGCAACTGGCTCTCATGAGGACCGCCACAGGAAGGGAAGACCCAAAGTTACCTCTGCTGCAGAGGATAAGTTCATTAGAGTTATCAGCCTCAGAAATTGCAGCCCAAATAAATGCTTCAGAGTTCAAGTAACAGACACATCTCAACATCAACTGTTCAGAGGGGACTGTGTGAATCAGGCCTTCATGGTCAAATTGTTGCAAAGAAACACCTACTAAAAGGACACCAATAAGAAGAAGAGACTTGCTTGGGCCAAGAAACACGAGCAATGGACATTAGACTGGAGGAAATGAGTCCTTTGGTCTGGAGTCCAAATTGGGGATTTTTGGTTCCAACCGCTGTGTCTTTGTGAGACGCGGTGTGGGTGAACAGATGATCTCTGCATGTGTATTTCCCACCGTAAAGCATGGAGGTGGTGTTATGGTGTGGGGGTGCTTTGCTGGTGACACGGTCTGTGATTTATTTAGAATTCAAGGCACACTTAACCAGCATGGCTACCACAGCATTCTGCAGCGATACGCCATCCCATCTGGTTTGGGCTTAGTGGGATCATTTTTTTTCAACAGAACAATGACCGAAAACACATCTCCAGGCTGTGTAAGGGCTATTTTACCAAGAAGGAGAGTGATGAGTGCTGCATCAGATGACCTGGCCTCCACAATCCCCTGACCTCAACCCAATTGAGATGGTTTGGGATGAGTTGGACCGCAGAGTGAAGGAAAATCAGCCAACAAGTGCTCAGCATATGTGGCAACTCCTTCAAGACTGTTGGAAAAGCATTCCAGGTGAAGCTGGTTGAGAGAATGCCAAGAGTGTGCAAAGCTGTCATTAAGGCAAAGGGTGGCTATTTGAAGAATCTCAAATATAAAATAAAATTTATATTTTGATTTGTTTAACACCTTTTTGTTTACTAAATGATTCCATATGTGTTATTTCATAGTTTTGATATCTTCACTATTATTCTACAATGTAATTAAAAAAAAAAAAAAAAAAAAAAAAAACTTGATTGAGTAGGTGTGTCCAACCTTTTGACCGGTAGTGTACATTTTGGTCATTTAGCAGACAGTGACTTGCTCAACTAGGTAGATAAATAACATCAGTCATGGCAAGTAAAAAAATGTTGTAACCCTTACTGAGAATGTTGTTGCTGTTCGGGCCAGCGACTTGCAAATTTATTTTTGTATTTTAAAATACATGTATTTTAATTAAAGACATTACAGTATTTTGTAGTTTATATTGATACATTGATCTTTATGGTATTTTGTATCTGTATGTCGTAAATTTTTGCCCATCCCTGACCATAGGCTTACTGGTAAAATGCACATGACGGGATACTTCAGGCAGAGCAAAATTCAGTTAGTCGTACAGTAACCGAAAAAAGTTGTGAACCACTGATTTAGAAAATACATTTGCACAAACAACATGCTTATCTAGGCCTACACCAGCACTGGTACCAGGCTGTAAATCTAAATCAAATCACATTTTATTGCTCGCATACACGATTAGCAGATGTTAATGCGGGTGTAGCGAAATGTTTGTGTTCCTAGCTCCAACCGCGCAGTAATATCTAACAATACACACAAATCTAAAAAGTAAAATAATGGAATTAAAGAAATATAGAAATATTAGGACAAGTAATGTAGGAGTCCGGAGCATATACAGTGCGTTTGGAAAGTATTCAGACCCCTTGACTTTTCACATTTTGTTACGTTACATCCTTATTCCAAAACGGATGAAATTATGTTTTCCCCTCAATCTACACACAATACCCCATAATGACAAAGCAAAAACAGGTTTTTAGAATTTTTTTCTAATTTATATATATTTTTAAAACGGAAATATGACATTTACATAAGTATTCAGACGCTTAACTCATTACTTTGTTAAAGCACCTTTGGCAGTGATAACAGCCTCGAGTCTTCTTGGGTATGATGCTACAAGCTTGGCACACCTGTATTTGGGGTGTTTCTCCCATTCTTCTCTACAGATCCTCTCAAGCTCTGTCAGGTTGGATGGGGAGCGTCGCCGCACAGCTATTTTCAGGTCTCTCCAGAGATGTTAGATCGGGTTCAATTCCGGGCTCTGGCTGGGCCACTCAAGGACATTCAGAGACTTGTCCCGAAGCCACTCCTGCGTTGTCTTGGCTGTGTGCTTAGGGTCATTGTCCTGTTGGAAGGTGAACCGTCACCCAAGTCTAAGGTCCTGAGCGCTCTGGAGCAGGTTTTCATCCTGGATCTCGGTACTTTGCTTCCTTCATCTTTCCCTCGATCCTGACTAGTCTCACAGTCCCTGCCGCTGAAAAACATCCCCATAGCATGATGCTGCCACCACCATTCTTCACCGTAGGGATGGTGCCAGGTTTCCTCCAGACGTGACGCTTGGCATTCATGCCAACGAGTTCAATCTTGGTTTCATCGGACCAGAGAATCTTGTTTCTAAAGGTCTGAGAGTCCTCCTTTAGGTGCCTTTTGTCAATGTTATTCTCAGAGGCAACCCGGAATGTCCCAGTCCACGTGATCAAAAGTCTTTAAGCATGGATTCCGATTGGTCAGACCAGCGTTGAATAGACCTTAGCACGGGTACTTCCTGTTTTAGTTTCTGCCTATAGGAAGGGAGGAGCAAAACGCAGTCGTGATCTGATTTGCCGAAGGGAGGTCGGGGGAGGGCCTTGTAGCCATCCCGGAAGCTAGAGTAACAATGGTCGAGAGTTTTTAAAGCGCAAGTACTGCAGGCAATGTGTTGATAGAACTTCGGTAGCATTTTCCTCAGATTTGCTTTATTAAAGTCCACAGCTATAATAAAAGCGGCCTCAGGATATGCGGTTTCCAGTTTGTACAAGGTCCAGTGTAGTTCTCTGCTACCGCACGGTCCAAAAGGCTTCTTAACAGCTTCTACCCTCAAGCCATAAGAATACTGAACAGCTAATCATGGCTACCCGGACTATTTGCACTGCCCCCCCACCCCACCCCACCCCCCCTCTTTTACACTGCTGCTACTCTGTTTATTATTTATGCATAGTCACTTTAACTCTACCCACATGTACATATTACTTCAACTACCTCGACTAGCCGGTGCCCCCACACATTGACTCTGTACCGGTACCCCCCTGTATATAGCCTCCCTACTGTTATTTTATTGCTGCTCTTTAGTTATTTGCTTAACAAAACTGAATTGTTGGTTAAGGGCTTGTAAGTAAGCATTTCACTGTAATGTCTACGCCTGTTGTATTCGGCGCATGTTGCAAATACCATTTTATTTTAGTTTCTTGAGAGCTGTCGTGGTATCGGCTTGAGGGGGAATACACACAGCTGTGACGATAACCAAATAAAATTTGATAGGGAGGTAATGTGGTCGGCATTTGATTGTGAAGTATTCTAGGTCGGGTGAACAAAAGGACTTGAGTTCCTGTACATTGCCACAATCACACCATGAGTAATTCATCATGAAACATACACCACCGCCTTTCTTCCTATCTGCACAATGTATTGATAACCCAGCTGCCTGTATGGACGGGGACAGTATATCCGGGGAGAGCCATGATTCCGTGAAACAGACTGTTACAGTCCCTGATGTCTCTCTGGAAGGAGATCCTCGCCCTGAGCTCATCTACTTTGTTGTCCAGGGACTGAACATTAGCGAGTAATATACTCGGAAGCGGTGGATGGTGTGCACGCCTCCTGAGTTGGTCTAAAAGTCCACTCCGAATAGCTCTTCTCCGCTGGCGGCGTTGGTGTGCACACCTCTCTGATATCCAAAAGTTCTTTCCGGCTGTATGTAATAATGCAAAGAACGTTCTGGGCTAATAACGTGATAAATAATTCTCTCTTTTTTTTTAAAGAATACTGCAAAGTTTCTTAGGAGCCTGAAACAAGGGGGCCATGTCTATCGGTGCCATCTTGCGTATTAGCTAGCTACGTTTGCTCTGACTCTTAGTACATTTAACCAGCTAGCTAGCTAACTAGAATTAGCAGCTAACAATTTATTTGAGCAACAACTTGCTAAGAAAATACAAAATAGCAGACAGTAGTTTGCAGACAGTAAGACACACAAACGAATAGTGGAAAGCAACATCGTTGTCACCAACATCTTGTTGCATCTATCTGACCATGCAGACTGCAAAGTGAACGGCAAGAAAGTGCTTGTGACTCCATGGTCAAGCAATTGCTCTCTCCTTGAGTGACAGGGGGCAGGGCTTGGTATGGGAAGCGGCATGCAGCAGGAAGAGAGGGAGAAGGACTGAAGTAGCAAACTGAGTAAACTATAAAAACGGATATTACACACAGAGTTGCTTATCACATTTAACAAACCAAATATTGAAATACCGTTATAGAAGGTAAAGTAAAAACCCAAACCGGTCTGTGCATCAACACCAGTATATAGTCATATACAGTATACCGCCCAGCCCTAAAATGATGGCACAGAGTGTACTATGTATGTAAAGGTGTGTGCAGGCACAGGTTGTTTTGCGCACTCACTGCTGCTGTGTGCGTAGGGTCTGTGTGTTGGCACTCCCTCCACCAAGCCTCTTTGCCTTCTCCACCTCTCTCTCCAGCTCCTCCCTGTGGGCCTTCTTCAGTGTCTCCATAACTAAACCACAGAGAGGGGGGAGGATGTGATGTGATCTGATCTCAAAACAAATATACTATTACCACATGAAATGCTGTGGTGTTGACTTCTATGTTCCATTCTGACGTCACACGTTTCATAAACAACAAAAGTTCTTGAACTGGGGTGCTAATGACTTTATGTACAATTTTGACCCTTGACCCCTGACCTTGTGCTGTGTCCTGGGTCTCCTCCCGCAGCAGCCGGTCCCTGTCCCTCTCCAGCTCCCGGGTCTCGCGGGCATGCTGCTTCTGCAGCTCCTCCAGGGCCTGTTTGTGGGCCCGCTCCATGGCCTGAAGGCTGCGGCCGCACGTAGCCTCCCGACCACAGCTACCTCCCCCCACCCTCCCCCCACCCCATCCTTCTCCCTGCAAACGCTCCAGCTGCTGCCTCAGAGACGCCACCTGAGTGTCACAAAGGGAGAGTGGCGGTAAAGCTCACTGAGAGAAAGAGAGAGGCGGCGGGGTATGGAATTACTGGGTTGAACCAAACTGATTTGAATGCCATATTCCATGCAGTCATATCAATCCCACACATCATGCAGGTCATGTGTCTCAAGGGAAATGTTAGGGACTGTATGGACCATAGACAAAGGGACACAGTGCAACGAGTAAATTAATCTGGACCAGATTCCCCCAACCCCATGATATGATTGTATGGTCTGTACGAGTCCTAAAACTACCCCTGTGAAGACACAGTAGTCAACAGCACACTATACAATGTTATCACATGACACAGCACTCAAAGATGGAATGAGACTTTAAGCAATGTTTCCACTATCGACATCTGATAAACTCACAGTTCTAGAACCAGGGAATTGCTGTCTTACTTTATTTTTCAGGGCAAACAGGTATTGCTAACTAAGCCCCTATTACACCTTCTTCCTTGGTATTTTGAAGACTGACAGGGTCAGTATTACTGCAGAGAGCCTGATTACCATCCCGCATGCATTATAGAGCAAGCCTAGTGTTAAAGAGTTTAACTTCATCTGTAGATGAATCATCTAGATGAATAGTAAATTTGCATTTATTTATTGTTTTTGCAAATTGAAAAACATCTCCACGCACTACCTCCCTCTGCAGCGCCTCATTGGCTGGATGGCTGGACCGTGAGCCCATTGGCAGTAGTGACCTCATCTCCTTTAGTGGCAGTCGCTCAAACTCTGCCCACTTTCTCTCAATGTCCTCCTCTGCTCTTATCCTGGGATCTGAGCCTACACCCGGCCCTTTCCTCGACAGCACCTGCTCCCATGTGCTACTGGTCACGTCTCTGCTCCTCTCCTCCTGCCATTGGGCGTGCTCCCTGCCCTGCCCCTCCCCTGCCTCTCTCCGAGTGGCTGGCAGAGGGCTGGTGGGGACGGGCACTGGTGACAGCTCGACACAGTCAAATCGGCGTCCGGTGGAGGTGGTGATTTCTGATCCAGCATCCCCGTGGTGAGAAGGTGGTGGACGAGTGGAGGCCAGGGAGCGAGAGTTCTCCTTGTCACTACTGCTGTCAGGCAGTCTGGAGGAGAGGAAGGACAGGGAGAAACCAAGTCAGACAGAGAGACAGAGTGCAGATCGATAAAGTGACAGTATAATAGGGCTGTGGCGGTCATTACATTTTGTCAGCCAGTTATTGTCATGCAAAAAAACTGCCTGTCTCACGGTAATTTACCGTTAATTAACAAACACATTTAGCATCTCCAGGCCTCTATGCATATACGCCTTTCGAACATCTACATAAAAATCTATTGAATATACACCATCACAATAATCCATTATTTATTTTAGTCAGGTCTAAAGAAACATGATATGAAGAAAATGTATTTCAGAAGAACAGAATATGAGTTGGCCTACTGTATGTTATCTGGTTTTGCTCCATGCCATAGGCTGTAGGCTTGTTTATTTAGCTGACAAGATATGCTTATAAATCCTGTGCCATTATTATATATTAAATTATTTTATAGTAAGAACAATATAATTTAACTTAGCTGAATGAAATAGAAAGTATATGTTTATGCATAAAAGTGATCATGTTAAACAGGTCCTATACTCTAGATTTAGAGTTATTTGGCAACTTTAGTTGTGAATGATACAAACCTTAGAATGTCTTGGAAATCAAAACATATGGGCTGCATGATGAGACTATAGGCTATTGATGATTTGAGAAAGTAGCCTCAGGCTGCACAGCCGTTCTCTCATCAAGTGAGTGTACTGTAGGCTAGACCAATTATGTACCAAAGATATCTTAAATAAATATAAATGTATGTTTTCTGCCATGCGTAATATGCGATAGGCTATGTAATGTATAACAGCTCAATCAATTTTAATTCA